TTGGTGTAACAAAACCTTAAAATTTGGGCTTATTAAACTTGCCTTAGCAAGTACTGTCGACGAAACAATTTTTTTATATGTATTTCATAGTAAATTTGCAACGTGTCAATGTTTTAATTTTTTTTGTTTTTCTGTTTCGTCATACAATTGTTGTTTTGCTATCTTTATTAAAACATGTTATGATAGTTAAAAACAATTAGATTTAATTATTATTATACGAGGAAGTGTTGTTTTTTTTTATGACCAACAAAAACTTTATACTGCCGAAAATTCTGCAAATTGATCCGGCTTAATTTTAGCACAAATATTTTTTTTTTGTTTGTTATCCAATGAAAACTCATAATTAGTAGATATTTATGTAGGAAGAAAACGTGCAAAAAATAGTTGAAATGTACATAATTTTTCGTATATCAAGTAAAATATTATGTTTTGCCTAATAATAATTACAGTAATTCTAGATAAAATAACTTGCGTTGTTGGAACGAATATCCATGAAGCTCTCTCTGTGTTTTATACCGCATGGTCCATGGGGAATGCTCTGAGGAATTATTTGAGATGATCCCCTCATCTCCTTTTTACCATCGCACCTCCCGCCATCGGAGCAGAGTTCATCCACATTATCTGGAACCACTGCGTTCATCGACAGTCCGTTTCCAAAGATCTTTTCTGCCACGTACCATCCGACTTTGGAATGAATCCACGGTGTTTTCCGAGCGCTTTGACATGTCCTTCTTCAAACGAGGCTTGCGGAGAGTACTTAACGGCAGGCAGCGGCTTGGCTCTGCCCCTGGCATTGCTGACGTCCATGAGCGACGGTGACCACTTACCATCAGGTGGGCCGTATGCTCGTCTGCCTACTATGGCAATAATAATAAAAAAGCGTGTGATGTTCTGAGTAGGTGGCAATTCTGATCCGGTGGTAGATTCTGCGAAGCACTACTCATGCTAGGGCTAGTGTTAGCAAATTCTCTCAGGTTGAGCCGGTGAGCTCACCTACCCGTCCGCGCGTAGCTGGAATATCCTCTTTGGCTATCAACGAAAAAAATTGCGCGCCACGGGCCATTCACAGTGAATTTCGAATCTTAAAAATTGTCAGATAATTTTTTTGGCGGGAAATAGCTTGTCAATTGTTTTTACCGCACGTCGACTACCTAACTCGTTGTTACCGAAAATGGAGTTAAGGACAATCGATTTTAGGGTAATGTCTATGATGATTTATGATGATTTATATTGGCCGTCTTCAAAATGATTTTTCAAGGAAGCGTTTCAGTTTCAGCTCTGCAACACTTCAACGAACTAAATTATAATGTATTTATTACGTATAATAATTACAAAAGCTATATTAAGCTGTATTAAGTGAATGCTTTTAAGCTATTGCATAGCTTTTATCGCGGACTTTGAGCGCGGCGACCGAAGAAATTCCGTAACGAAAATAAAACCTAACGCCCCCACTCCGCCTACCATGTAGCTCGCGATCAACACCTGTTAATGCTTATAAATATAACGTAGTCTTATTTTATTATTGTTTTAATATTAAATTATTATTGTCTAATTATAAATGCATAAGTTGATAAAAAATGCTATGCAATAGCTTTACCGCGGCAGTCCCCGAGTGCCACACGTGTTTTTTTTTAATTGTTCCCACAATACGCGGGAATACTATCGAATGTAAGGCATCCACCATGAAGTAGTATCTAGAGGAGGACAAATCTTGAAAAAATTCGATTATTGTTAAAAATCAAAACAAATTATGCGATCATTACTACACATTTATTTATTTATGCTTCTTAATTAAAGATCTCTGTTGTTAGAGCATGATACAGTTTTTTTTTTTTTAATTTAATTAAACATTTGTATGTTAATTTTTGCAGCTGTAAAATTGTTAATGTGTGCTTCTAGGATATTATTGTGTAACATTACGACTTTAACTATGCAAACATATCTTTGTTAATTCAATGAATAAGAATTTGTTTCGCGTTTAATTATTTGTGGTGCTTTTGTGGTTCGGCCATACATGAAAAAGACGTTCTAAAATTTCGGGTCGTTTCCGATCCGGTGGTAAATTCTGCGAAGCACTGCTCTTGATAGGGCCAGTGTTAGCAACACTCCCGGTTTGAACCCCTGTGAGCACACCTGCACGTCAAGGTGAAGCTGAAATAGCCTCTCAAGGCTATCTGCGTAGCTAGGAAAAAAAATCACTGTCATTCCTACATCATACGATGGTAAAGTAATAAAGAGATGATAGAGTGAAAAAAAAATCTCCTAACCTACCTCAGCCGCCATTATCATTGGCATAGCAGCGTTTGACATTAAATAAATATAATTTGTCTGGTGTCTATTGTCTGTAAAACAATAAAACTATAAGTATTTAACATTAATTTATATAATGTTTATTATTGCAATACGTAAATGCAGTAGATAATTAATTACCGAATGCTCAAGAAGGTGGTCTTATGAAGATTTTCGTTATTGAATTGTTAGCGAACAAGCTCACTACCCGCCTTACGGTCAGTGGTCACCGAAGGCCGTAAACATGGCAACCTGTATACCCCCATTCACCTTGAGACAAGATGTAAGTCACGATCGGCGGTCTCAAACTTCACACCGGAATGCTGTCTATACTGTTTCGCGGGAGAAATAAAAATATTTGTATTGCTGCAAGCTGACCCGGCAGGCTTCGTCACTACGAGGCACTCCTCAACCGATAAATAAAAGACCTAAACTTTTGTATAAAATAAACGTAAAATAAACAAAAGGAATCCGTCCGACGGGGACACATCAAAGGAAAAACAAAATTGTTATTTTTATTTAATTCCGAGCATTTTCATATACCTTTTAGACCTTCTCTGGACTTCCACAAATAATTCAAGACCATAATTAGCCAAATCGGTCCAGCCGTTCTCGAGTTTTAGCGAAACTAACGAACAGCAATTCATTTTTATATATAGAGATAGATATTTGTGCAGGTTTACAGTATGCTCTACAAACAATAAAAAAAAATCGACTACATTTAGTATTTAAAACAACCTAAAAAAACTTTAGTTTACATAATATAAAAATAATCGTCACGCTATTATAACCCAAAAAAAATTAACGATCAATTGTATTATACAATTCATATTGTTATTCAGACAGATATGTTTGTAAGTTTGCATCCATAATTTTACAATATAAAAACGACATACATCATTTATTTTAATTTGTTATTTATTGCTTTTTTTAATCGATTTTAATGTCTATGATACAGTTGATTTACTAGCGCTTTAGGTATATGTAAATAGGAAATCTACGGTCGCGTGTATGTTTGTATGACACAGCATCATTATAGAACGGTTCGAAAGATAACAAACAAAAAACAATGAATAATTAGGCGGGAAAAGTTTTATTAAGTGATTTGGTTTTTGAAACACCCACGAAATTTTGTTTTTCATACAATTAGCGATCATTATATAACGGTTCGAAAGATAACAAACAAAAAACAATGAATAATTAGGCGGGAAAAGGTTTATTAAGTGATTTGGTTTTTGAAAAACCCACGAAATTTTGTTTTTCATACAATTAGCGATCATTATATTATAACGGTTCGAAAGATAACAAACAAAAAACAATGAATAATTAGGCGGGAAAAGGTTTATTAAGTGATTTGGTTTTTGAAAAACCCACGAAATTTTGTTTTTCATACAATTAGCGATCATTATATAACGGTTCGAAAGATAACAAACAAAAAAACGATGAATAATTAGGCGGGAAAAGGTTTATTAAGTGATTTGGTTTTTGAAAAACCCACTTTTTTGTTATTTCATACACTTAGTGATAAACAAACACAGCGTGAACTAGGATCGAACAAGTTTGAAACAAGTATTAGAGTATGTACTTAAAAACAAGCACCTTACCTTATATAGAAAACGTGACATACATTCGTTAAATACTATAAATGAACCTAAACTGGTTAGTCGTACAAACAATTAATAACTCGTTCCTAGGTTGAGGCTTAGGCTTGTGTTGGAATTTTCTAATTAAGCATTCAAATTTTTTATTAAAAACTTTACTATAAGTTCTAACAAACGATTTAAAAATTTCTTTCTCTCATTTTTGACACGACCACTACATCAAGTCTAAAATATATTAAGTGTATAATCTATGACATTAAGAGCCGTTCATTTTACCATACCATTGTACCCATTGTCGATTGACTAATCATCGACATTTTTTCTACATTTAATAACAGCCAAGTTAAAAAGAAGTTCTAATAACATCAATACAAATGAAAAAATGCTACACACATTTGACAAAAAAAAATAGATATGAGTAATCAGAGAATATACAATTATTAATACGTAAAGCAAAAACTTTGTACCCCTTTTTACGAATATTGCCCGGAAGTATGGGAAATACGAGGAGTATAGAGTATATAGAGAAGGAGTGCAGAATGCTAATATTTTATAAAAATTATGTACGTATATAGTAATACGTTAAATCAATAAAAATAAAAAAAACATTACACACACCACCTTGTATTCAACACACACTCACATATATAAACTTTGCTTACTGTCAAACTTTTGTTATTGCTTATAGTCTGTGGTCAAATTGAGAATAGGTTAATACTGTTTATATTTAATATTATTTGTCTATAGTGTAGTCTTGGCGAAATCTGTGATTATAAAAGTTTAATAGTCTTTGATCATAGAACCGTAATAATGTTCAAAATTATAATTTCAATTGATTCTAGTCGAATTCCTAGTAACTAATATATACCTACTGAATGAGACATTAGAACTTATATCTCAAGGTGAGTGGCGCATTTGCGTTGTAGATGTCTGTGGGCTCCAGTAACCAGTTAACATCTGGTGAGCTGTAAGCTCGTCTACCCATCTACGCAATAATAAAAAAATTATGTGTGTATTAAATAGAGTGTTTCGATAAAAATTTGTTTCTGCACTAATTGAAAAATTCTGAAGACCCTCACTCAATAACATGGATACTCTTATTTGTTACAGCAACTGGCGCTGATACCTGACTCTAGGTCGTTCATGAGGTGGCTAGAACCGGACGTGCCCATATTCTTCGATATATACATGTTCAACTGGACCAACCCTGAGCGATTCCCGGAGGAAAAACCAAATTTTGAAGAAATAGGTACGATTTTCTATCACTTGTTTATTGTATTAAATGTAAGAAAGAATAATATAAAATGATAAATAGCTGGGAACAAATCACGCACGGTCATCCGGTACCAAATTAGGATTCCCTGTGTTATGGCTACCAGAAACAGACACTACTCTTATACGCTTCAATATAAACCTACTTAGTCTGGCCATAAATACTGTTACAAAGGAAAACAAAAAAAAATCTATGGCAAATAACATTTATTACTTTTACAGTGTGTTAGTTTAATACATAAATATAAAACAATTTAAAGTATAAAAAGCTTATTCAAAGTGGTATCCATTGGCTGCAATACAGTCCTTTAAACGTTGAGGCCAGTTATCAATAGAAGCACGCACTCTTTCCATGGGAAAATTTTTCACTGCCAATCGTACGGATTGTTTTAGGGACTCCAAATTATCATGGCGTTTAGAGCAAGCCGTACTCTCTAAAACTGACCATAAATCATAATCTAGCGGATTAAGATCGGGACTAGACGACGGCCAGTCTTCAGCTCTGATGAAGTCCGAAACGTTCGTTTCTTGATTATTGAACATTGTGTTGTTAAGGGGCTTCACTACCTTCTCAAGAATGGTATCTTGATACATTTGTGCCGATGTTTAGATACCTTTTTCACAAAAGTATGGCTCAGTCACTCCTTCATAGCTAATACCCCACCAAACCATCACTGAAGTCGGATAGTGCCCACGTTGCACTCTGTCGACTAATTGGGAAGCTTCCTTAGAGCTTTGTGCATAAATACGGTCATTTTGTTTGTTAAAATGTTGCTCAATTGTAAAAAATTTCTCATCCGTAAACAAAAATTTTCTATCACCTCCCTTTGCGTACTAATACTACTACCGCTTCAGTAGTTGTTTCGATTTTACCACCCTATTCTCTTTTAAATTATCAGTTAAGAAATGACCAGTACGTCTCTTATAGGCTGCAAGTCCTAAGTCATCTTTTAAAATACGCGACATGGTTCTAGGTGCTATCTTCTATATTCATCTCCCGAGATAAAATCTTTTGCTTTCGGACAGGATTTCTTCGAATTCTTTCCCTTACTGCTTTAACCACCTTTTTCGTACGAACACTACGTGGACGGCCAGATCTTTTTCTGTCACAAACAGAGGAGGTCTCATTGCACCTATTAATAACCCGGTACACAAACATTTTACTAATACCAAGCGCATAGAAAGTTTTAAAAATTGTATTTGACTCCATACCTACTTTGTGTAATGCAATCACAGCGATTTGGTTCTCTTTATCACCCCACACCATTTTAATATCGTAAAATATTGTACAATGTATTGGCGCCAAAATGAGAAAACTCAATGAGCAATCATATAAAAATGACAGATTCCAAATTCAAATGTAATATTTTATTTATTTTTAATTGTAACAGTATTTATGTCCAGACTAAGTATATGTTATATACAAAATAAATCGTCATGGCCTAATGGATAAGACGTCCGGTGCATTCGTATATAGCGATGCACCGGTGTTCGAATCCCGCGGGCGGGTACCAATTTTTCTAATGAAATACGCACGATTGACTTCCGCGGTGAATGATCGACTTCCATCGTGTAATAAAAATCAAACCCGCAAAAATTATAATTTGCGTAATTGCTGGTGGTAGGACCTCTTGTGAGTCCGCACGGGTAGGTACCACCGCCCTGCCTATTTCTGCCGTGAAGCAGTAATGCGTTGCGGTTGAAGGGCGGGGCAGCCGTTGTAACTATACTGAGACCTCAGAACTTACATCTCAAGGTGGGTGGCGCATTTACGTTGTAGATGTCTACGGGCTCCAGTAACCACAAAGACAAACAGTAGGGGCTGAATATATCAACATTTCAGGTCCTTACCGTTACCAGGAGCATAGACGTCACGTGAATATCTCGTGGCACCCAGAGAACGGCACGATTGGGTACAGGACGCTTCGCAGCTGGGTGTGGGACGAGTCCAGCGTTGGGTCACAAGACGACATTATCACAACCATTGACGTTATAACCGCTGTGAGTACTTGTTGTTCTACTACTATTTATTTACTACTAGCGGCCCGCTCCGGCTACGCTCGGGTCTTTAACAAAAATTTCAACGATAAGTCGTAGTACATTATTTTATTCTATCATCAATAGTTTTCGCGGGGTACGCGATGTAAATAATATTTTAGGTAATTTCTTTACACCTTGGGTTACATTATTGGAGTTTTAGTAAGGATCCCTATTTTTTTTTTTTTTTAAGATTATCGCCTATATCACTCGGGAATAGTGTAGCTTCCAAACAGTGAAAGAATTTTTCAAATCGGTTCAGTAGTTTCGGAGCCTATTCAATATAAACAAACAAACAAATCTTTCCTCTTTATAATATTAGTAGAGACTAATATGACTATTTACTACTATTTATTTGTTTATTTGATAAACCAACAGCACAAAACAATAAATTCGGCAATTAAAACTAACTGGAAACTAGTTTGGACAAGTTCTGCGAGTTCTACAACTATAACATTAGCATATATAATTGTATTTTAAGTCGATTTTAGGCGTTTTGTTAAACGGAACAATTCAAGGTTCAAGGTAGGCAGCGACTTGGGTTTGCCCCGGGCATTGCTGACGTCCATGAGTAACGGTAACCGCTTACCATCAGCATTCATTTAGCGACCACTTTCCATCAGGTGGGCCGTATGTGCGTCATCCTAAAAAGTCAATGAAAAAAAAAAATTGTACTTGATGGATAATTTTAATGTGGCGATTGTACTGTAACATTTACTTTTAATTAAACGCGAAAGTGGCTTCGACTGTTCACACGAAATTCAATTAGTCAAAAGCGATATTATTCTAAAGATAGTGCATTTCTCTTACAGCAGAGTTCAGTGCAATCAAACAATTTTATTTTTATCAAGTGACTTTGAAAACGGATAACAGAGTTCTGTAGTTAATATGTTGCTAAGACAGAATGATGTAAATACATTGAAATTTAATAAAATGCATTATTTAAACGATATTAATTATTAAAAAGTCGCACATCAAACGCGCGTAAAGGTTCTCAGCTGCTTGTTTTGGGCGAGCCCACCACCCTTTTAACGTTAACTTTTATTTTTTATTGCTTAGATGGGTGTACGAGCTCACGGCCCACCTGGTGTTAAGTGGTTACTGGAGCCCATAGACATCTACGACGGAAATGCGCCACCCATCTTGAAATATAATTTTTAAGGTCTCAGTATAGTTACAACGGCTGCGAAGCACTGCTCTTGCTAGGGCTAGTGTTTTAATTCTCTCAGATTGAACCCGTGAACTCACCTACCGTTCGAACGTAGCTGAAATAGCACCCCTAGGCTACCAGCGAATAGGTATGGGAAAAAAAACAACACAAGTCACAGAGCCAACAAAAACCCTAGCAATTAACGAAAAGAAAAATAATCATGGCGATCAGAATTTTATGACCCTTCATTAATTTGAAAACTAAAGGTATTAAATTAGAAAGATACGATATACATAAAAAAATGGGTAGTCACATTAATTCATTCCCACGCAAAATATAATAACACAAGGTCAATGAACTGGTTTACGTGTAATTCTATGAAACGGGTTTATTATTGTGATGGAATTTTTTTTACGCCTAAAAATTACCAGAAATTTTATTCAAACGTCACACGTTACGTACATGAAAAAAACCTATGAAATTTAACATAATATATTCCGCTAAATACAATATGTTAAATGACAATGTGAATTAGCATACTTCCTATTGTTAAGACACGTGTCTTACGTTAAATTAGATAATTTTTCGGGATGACAATCGGCTTCTCGCGACACCGTTGTTACTTAGTTGTTGTTGTTAAGGTTATATATAAATACTCAATTATTATACTTAAATACATTTTTGTATGCCCACCAGTAAAACAATTTTAAATAAAAAAATATTAATTGTCAGTGGGCAAAGTTAATGAAGTATGCAAATTTTTTTTAGTGACATATCGTATCGAGGGATTAAAGGAAGGCTATTTGATTTAAGCGCCATTTCGCTTAACACGCAACTTTTATCTTTATAATTAATGGTGCGTTTTATTTAGCATTATCATCAACAGTTCGATGTCTTTAATTGAACTTCAATTAACTTAACTCATTTGAAATAGCTAAAGAAGTTTTTTTAGTTATGATATTCAAAATTTTAAACTGATGAAACGGATGAAAGGCGATTGCATGCAGCAGAGATGCGAATGTTGCGATGGATGTGTGGAGTAACGAGAATGGATAGAATACGGAATGTATATGTTAGAGGAAGCCTGAAAGTGGCACCTGTGACAGAGAAGCTGAGAAGTGCGCGTTCGGGATGGTATGGACATGTGATGAGACGAAATGAAAATGAGGTTGATAAGAAAATGTTAACTATGAATGTGGAAGGGCATAGAGAGAAGAGGTAGAGCTAAGACGAAATGGATGGATTGCGTGAAAGACGATATGGGTAAGAAGAGAGTGAGCGAAGAAATAGTATATGATAGAAGAGTATGGAAGGAGAAAACATGTTGCGCCGACCCCAGGTTACTGGGAGAAGGGCAGGATAATGATGATTCAAAATTTTAAACTTAAAATGTCTCCCCTGTAAAGTTGCTAAATTGTCGCCTAAACCAAACAGTCTTTCAAAACGTTATGATTAGTGATATATATAGTCGAATGGTAGCTGTTAGGATTTTAACATTTGCAGAATGTTTTAAAACTAAGTGACTGACTATGTTGCAAAAGCCAATTAGTGCAAAATGCAAAAAAGTAAAATAAACTTCGCAAAGGCAAATGTCAGTCTTTACGATCTGTCGTTATATTCGAAGCGACATTAGTAGGTAATTATTTCTAATGGTAGTAATTATGAAAAATAAAATAAAAAATAAACATTTGAATTTCGAAAATATTTGAATCTAGATTTGTCGGGTTTTTTTACAAAAACTCGTTCTGTCTAGGTAATTAATTTCATTTTATTTTATTTATCTAGTTACTAAATATCTCACGGCCAACCAGGCTTTAAGTAGTTACTGAAAAGAATAGACATTAGAAAGATAACGCCGCTACCGTCTCCTATAGACTTTGGATCTTTTTATATTTTTTTTATTGCTTAGATGGGCGGACGAGCTCACAATCCTCCTGGTGTTATGTGGTTACCGCAGCCCATAGACATCTACAACGTAAATGCCGCCCTCACCCTGAGATAAGAGTTGTAAGCTCTCAGTATAGTTACAACGGCTGCCCCACCCTTTAAACCGAAACGCATTACTGCTTCACGGCAGAAATAGGCAGGGTGGTGGTACCTACCCGTGCGGACTCATCACAAGAGGTTCTATCACCGGTAAAGTATGATTGCTTAGCGGGAGAATCAGAGTTATCAGCTTTAAAATTTGTGTTTGCTATTGCCATTATAAATTACATGAGTGTTAGAGATTCATTCAGTCAAAAAAGTTTCGGGAACGGATAATTTGTTTATGGTTCCTTTCACTTTTTTTTTTTGTTTTTGTTAGATGGGCACAGCTGTTTTCCATTTTGGTGCGCAGTTTCAGATGCGTCTGTTATTTAGATTAAACACAGTGCTGATTTTAGTTATATTTGTCATTCTAGAGTGTATTGCGAATTTCATTTTAAACAAAAACATCACCGGACTCCCATCCTCCACTGAGGATGGCGGGCGGGGTATGTCAAAGTCGAGCGTTTAGTGCGGAGCACATTCCTCCCATCACCCTCCCCCTCGGGATGCCGGAACGGCGGTCGTCGGCGCCACGACCACCAGCCCTCTCGCCCTCTCAGTCGGCAGGCTATCCGTAGCCCGCCTAGATGGCGTCTTACAAAAGACTTACGATAATATGCCTTCGCACAAGGCCATCATTGTAAACGAATTTCTGACCAAAAACTCGACAAATATCATCGAGCAACCAAAACTTGACGAGGGCGATGTGACGGAAAAAAATTTGTTGTTTTCACTAAATTTAATATTTCGTAAATTAAAATTTAGAAGGAATGTGTAAAACTTGAAATTGTGTGCCGAACGAAATAACAGTCGCAAACGGTGTGACTGCTTTAAATTCCGTATTATGCGACTCAATATTTTTTCTTTAAAATTTTCCTGTTTTCAAGTGACTTCGGAATATAATAACGATTAAAAAGAGAAAATTATCATTAATAATTTAAAATTATGGAAAAAATAGATTTGCTTAGTGATGACGTTTGTTTTAACCTAGGGACGCACGGTAAGATTTTGTTTAGATATTCTAAATGTTTTTCGCATCACTACAGAACATTGCTTAATATAGTTTCATGGTGCTTGAAAAGCTAAGGTAATAGCACCTTGTTCATAAACTGGTGTCTAAGCTTGGCTTTTAAGTAATTCTTCGGGACACTAGAATCCTTTACACATTTAAAATAAATATTATAAATACTAATGCTGCTTCTTAATTAAATTCTTGCTAATTTCGCTCGATCGGACGCTTCAAAATATTTATTTAGAATTGTTTTAATTATTCCATTAACGTTTCCCGTTGATTATTCTAATCATTCAATGGATGAATGTTCGAAATAAACAATAATCGGCATTGGACATTATTAACACGGATAATAATGGAACAAATACATTGAACAAAGTTAAAATAATGTGATGTTTCAATCCCCAGTTTTTGACTTCACAGGGAGCTTTTTATGAAATGTTCCCAATCAAAAGTTTACATTGTCAATTAAAAGTTAAAAGTCACAAAGCGGATTGAGAATTTGGCTAGAAGCTTATCCATTTTTGGACATCACAGAAGCTCTGATTGTGTTTTTTTTTAATTGCTAACTTATCTACCATTTTCTAGATTTCTCTATACCGACTATACTAAATTAGAGATACAATGTTATACACGGAAACAACTTAAAATGGTATTTTCAATGCCTCAATGTTAAATGAAGTAACCTCATAGATAATACACATAAATAAGTTATAGATAAGCAACTCAAGCACTTAACAAAAATATTTACGGGCGTCGACCACTAGATGGCTTCGCTTCCATTAGTTTCTCATTGTTCCTGTGATGGCAGTAGCATATAACATATCCTATATTTAATGAAAGATTTTGTAAATTTTCGGAAACCACAAATTGATAAAATTTAATCAATTTGTCTATAACAAATAAAGACTTATATGTTTTTTTTTTTCTGTATTTAGTTATACAATAATTAAAAGCCTTAACTGTAACAACATATAAGTTTAGGGGCATCCGCTACAAGATGTCGCTAGTTTCCATACACAAAAAGGGTTTGTCTTAAAGTATCGCAGTTTCAAGAGCCCTGGTAATCTGATGAGAACATAAATGATTTACCACCAATCGATACACATACATAATTACTATTGCTCGCAAAGGCTGGAGAGACTATAAGCCAGTTGCTGTCACCCACAGAAATCTCTGTCCAGACACAAATCTATCTTAAACTCGACTACTTTGACAAAACCAATCGCTTCAGGGCAAAGAATGTGCTCTCTGAGATCTAACTATGTTTTGATGCGTAAGGTGCAGCCGTTAGCAGGATATATGTTGGTACTTACAAACATACAAGTTGATTGAGAAATTATTATTTATTTATTTATTAGTAGGGCAAATTAAAAATCGCGGACGTGAATTTATGTACATCGTACACTAAACGAACCAACTTATTGCCAGGAACGCATTTTTTCATTTGCCGGACTGTAGTTCCCCACCGTCAGGACGTCTTGTAAGTCCACTCAGACCACTATCCTGTCTATTTCTCCCAGGGAGCAGCGCTTTCCAACATGGTGGATGGAACAATCTATACTAATATATAAATCTATAGTGATTTTTACGGATGTTCCGTTATAACTACTGAACCATGCATCCGATTGACTTGAAACTTGGTATCCATGTAGAAAATACATGTACTTAATGGATAGGCTAATATTTATATGAGTGTTGGACTCCCTAATAATAATGACAATGAATAATAATGTTAATTTTAAATGCCCAACGAAGCGGGCGAGTACGGCTAGTCGTTATATAATACGATTCAAAATGACTTCGACTTCATATTTCAAGATGCTTAGTCACATTCACATCGTAAAGTCTGTAAGCTCCGTGAACTATTTAACAGTAGTTGGGCCGCTCCTCGGTGATATGGATTAAAAACAAATGTTTGTCGATTTTAATCGAAACATGGTTCCCATGGAATCATCTAGAAAACTGATCTGATGATAGTTTTAATGAATTGAGGTAGCTCTTCGACTTTGCGACGTATGCAACATATACGATATTGGACATACAGGGACCGGTCGGATAATGATGATGCTGTCTTGTATTACAGTCAGCGATTTACCAGGCGAGGTTCAGTGGATTTATCGAACAGAAGCTCGTGTCTTTGACCCTGACGAGCTCGCAGCACACGAAGGTGTCCGTAACGGCGAGAGCCAGTGAGTTCCTCTTCGAAGGCTACGAGGACCCGCTCTTGAACCTGGCCAAGCTGATGCCAGCCAGTGTTAGAGGAGGTGCACCAGCTCTGGATCGATTCGGCTGGTTCTTCTCTGTGAGTTTTCTAATGTCATCCTTTCAAAAATCTTTCTCTTTTGTCTCGATTGGCTGCAGTCTGCAGATAAACCCCCTGAGTTTTAGTATCAAGCTGGACCAATAATCGAAATCGTGGTACTTGCCGGTGCGTGTTCACAATATGCTTTTTTTTATTGCCTTTGTAGGCAGACGAGCATACGGCCCACCTGATGGTGAGTGGTTACCGTCACCCGTGGACTTCAGTAATGCCAGGGGCAGAGCCAAGCCGCTGCCTACCGCTTAATACTCTCCACAAGCCTCTTTTGAAGAAGGAGATGTCATAGCGCTTGGGAAATACCGTGGAGGGGAGCTCATTCCATAGCCGGATGGTACATGGCAAAAAAGACCTCTGGAAACGCACTGTCGATGAACGCAGCGGTTTCAGACAATATGGATGAACTCTGCTCCGATGGCTTTACCACTAGTAATTCAAATTTATTTTAATCACACGATGTTACATTTTTCCTTATTGTTGGGGAAGCTTGTTAACACGCGTTAGGTATTGTCTTTAGAATTTAATAGCCACTCTAGCGTTAGGACGGTACCTGAATGATAACATTAGACCACAGACAATCCGCCTCAACCCATTAGAACAAATTGTGAGTTCAAGACATAAGAGTTTTTGGTTTCTTCCCAACAGAGGAACAACACGGATACTGACGGCTACATGGAAGTGACTTCGGGGACCCGGGACGGACTTCCCGGCCAGATCTTGAGATGGAACTATCAGGATCACATACCGTTTTACGACGGCGAATGCTCCAAGGTAAGGCAGCCTCCGGCAGATGCTCACATTTAGAAAATCGATACAACTCATAGACGCACCTTTACTGTGAGATTCTATAGCAAGTTTAATTTATGGGGATTGGATTAACTCTCAGACACAGCCCACTGAGTTTTTCGCCGGATCTTCTCAGTGGGTCGCGTTTCCGATCCGGTGGTAGATTCTGCGAAGCACGGCTCTTGCTAGGGTTCGTGTTAGCAAGATCGTCAGGTTTGAGCCCCGTGAGCTCACCTACTAGTTAAAGTTACGCTGAAATAGCCTCTCAAGGCTCTCAGCTTAGGTAAGAAAAAAAAAAGGGATGGACATTATGCATCAAGGTGATGGTGGTATTGACTTTGTGATTCGTCTGCACATAAGGGTCCTTATCCATTTAACACCAAGAAAACCGTGGATTATGGAACATAATTGAGAAGTCTATGTGCAATACAGACACATCTATTTTCTGCAATCGTGTTCTGATTAATTAACCGACTACCAAAGAAAGGGTAATGTTTAAGTGTCTCTCACATATTGCTGGTCAGTTATCAGGAAGCGCTGGCGAGTATATCCCGAGGAACCTGACTGAGGACTCGAAGCTGACGATGTACGTGCCCGATCTCTGCAGAACCGTTAACATGGAGTTTGTGGAGAGTGGGGTTCAAAACGGACTGAAATACAACAAATATGAAGTCAACGAGAGAAGCTTTGATAACTGTAAGTTATTTGTTTTGACCACGTGGCATGACGGGAGTGTGTAGATTTGGGACATGAGGTCGACATCGCAGTTGTGTTAACAAACATCCCAACCTTAACCCGGAGGAAATCATGACACAGTATAATGGCGCCCATCACGTCCCATTAAATGTTCGTACCGTTCGTAAGCGCCATTTAAGCGGTACCCTTTGAGAATTTCTGTAAATAAAACGGTTGCCTGGAAGAAATAACTTTTTATTTATTTATTTAAAACAAGGAGAACCAACAACCAACTAAAATAGTATAATAATATAACAAATAATAGAAACAAAAAGCCAATTAAAGGTCCTCACCAATAATAGCATTAAGACCGCCTGTTGCGCAACTATATCTGCCTGTTAACTATTTTTTAATATATTAACCGTGTTTTGATGTGTAATAAAGTATATTCTCTCTTTCTGTCTCTCTCTAATCTGAATTGTCTCACAATTTCAAAGGAAGGAAATCCAGATCTAATTTCTCTTGTGTCCTATTTTCTTCTAATTAAGTTTATTGAAGGACCCAAGACATATTAGTTTGACCTCAGGTTACAGGAACCTGATAATTCAGTACATTGAAGCCAGGATACAGTAGTGAGCAGCAGCAACTACTGACCACTTCGTAAATTTGTTGCTGCATCATCAATTCTAATTCAACATCATCAAAACAAAAACAATCTACTTTCGCAATACGACTTTCCAAATTATCTTAATAATAACGATGTTAAGGCGAATTTACATTACGAAATTAGTGGCATGAAACTAATTTCGTGACATTAGTTTTACCAACAGTTTCACGTGTAATTTAATACTTTCGTAATGCATGCATCAATTTCATGCATGCAAATTAGTTTCGTGCCCTGCGCGATTTTTTGGTGAAACTAATGTCATGCAACTAATTTCATAGTGTAGACGCGACGTGAAACTAATGTCGCGAAAGGGCCTGCGCCGCGCGGACGTGTGTATTGTTAGTCCGGACGCGCTTCAAGCCTTAAAAATGGCAAACCAAGGATGGAGTACAGAAAAAAAATACAATTCATTAATGAATATCAGCGACAAGAGTCTCTGGGACCCGAAACGCCTACAATATAAAAATAGGCATGCCCGAGATGCGGCCTACAAAATAATTATGGATGCCATGGAGATGCAATATGTCAAAGAAGCATATATTATATAAGCATTTCTTTAGCTACATTGAATATAGCAAAATATAGCTTTGATGCTGGCGGCGCCATGGTTACTGCGTTACTGTGGATTTCGCGACACTAATTTTTTAACGAAATTACTTTCGCATGTATCGAAACTACTTTCGTGCAACTGAGTTCAACATGCATGACACTAATTTCGTAATGTAAACTCCGTATTACCATATTCCTGTTTACTTAATTATTACCGTCTCAGTCTTCATCATCATAGTCGGTTACTCTTGGCAGAGCAGTCGTGGTCATGCGGTAGGCAGCGGCTTGGCTCTACGCCTGGCATTGCTGAAGTCCATGTGCGACGGTAACCACTCATCATCTCATCATTGACGGGTGTTCTTTATAATTCGCGAACTGAGGATGCGCCACCCATATTTTCTCAGTCTTAAAAAGTCTTAAAAGCCTCAAAACTAAGCCCAATTTCTTGCCTAATAAAACGCGTTATGTTAATGGCAGCGTCGACGTCGCCGGAGAACACGTGCTTCTGTAAGGGCGAGTGCGCGTGGGGGGGCGTCATGAACGTGTCGGCGTGCCGCTTCGGCTCCCCCGCCTTCATCACCCTGCCGCACTTCCTGCACGGAGACCCCGCCCTGCTGGACCAGGTCACCGGCATGAACCCGGATCCGGACAAGCACTCGTTCTATTTCGCTGTCGAACCTGTAAGTGGCAACACAACTGCTATTACAGCCTTGATAAGAACGAATGTAGCATTACAACTAAAGATGCGAATTTATCACGTTCGAGCATATATTTTTTATTGCCTAGATGTGTGGACGAGCTCACAGTCCACCTGGTGCTAAGTGGTTACTGGAGCCCATAGACATCTACAACGTAAATGCGCCACACACCTTGAGATATAAGTTCTAAGATCTCAAGTATAGTTACAACGGCGGCCCCACCCTTCAAACCGAAACGCATTACTGCTTTACGGCAGAAATAGACAGGGCGGTGGTACCTACCCGTGCGAACTCGCAAGAGGTCCTACCACCAGTGATTATGCAAATTATAGCTTAACTTGTTTAGTCCCTTAGGCTATCAGCGAAGTGTATGAGGTAGGGAAGAAGCTATCCTATCCAATTAGCAACTATAGGGCTACAGCTGTTTTATAACCACGGTTGCAGCGCATCTTATTATTTTTTTCTCAACCTATTCAGTGGTAGCCTAAGAGGATATTCTAGCTACACGCGGACAGGTAAATGAGCTCACGGGCTCAACCTGAGAGAATATGCTAACATCAGCCCTAGCTAGAGCAGTGCTTCGCAGAATCTACCGGCAGATCGGAAGCGCGACCCCCTGAAAAGATACGTGAAATGAGAAACTCAGTGAGCAAAACGCGTCTGAATATCAGAATGGTGGGACTTGCAACACGCCACACTTCGGACGTGAAGGTTGCAAGCTGGTTCTTCCTTGTTGATTCTCATTTCAAACTAATGTTTGTTGCAGAAACTGGGCGTCCCCATAGACGTGGCGGGCAGGTTTCAGTTCAATGTCTACGTGGAGCCGAGCGACCACATCACGTATGTTATATGTTCCTAATACCCTCGTTTAACTTATATAAGTTACCTTCGAGGACAGTAACCACGTGGCGGTGCGCGATCACAGTTTGGTCGCGCCGAAGATACTGTCTGATGCTGTTTATTAGCACTTGATGTCTTTAGACTTAGATGTATACATATGGACTTAGGAAATAGCAAAGATCGCACCGAAATTGTAACTTTAAGGTGAACATGAAGGGAAGTGTAGATTTAATTCGGTACACAGGCAGCCGCTTGGCCGTATCTATGAAGTGAGTGTCACTCTCGCTCAGAGCCTAGCTTGATTCATCTTCTCTTTATCTTCGACTCGTAATTTCTTGACAATGAAATAATGAATCCATTGAAACCAACGAAATATCTCATGTCTCGGTTGTGCGCTGTCGGCTTAGAACCACACTACTCCCATCCTGTGGGGGTCGTAGAAACAGACTGAAGGATTCACTGTAGAATGGGCCGTAGCACTCTCTGAGTATTAGCCCAGCGTAAGCCGATCATAAACTGGCTTTTATTGGCGATAAGAAGGTAGCGTAGGGTAAGCCGGCTGTTACCATCATCTAGCCTATTTCTCGCATGAAGCAATCAAATGTTTCAGTTTGAAGTCTGGGAGACATAATATCATTGGAGCTCCAACTATTATCCACAGGCTCTGATAACAACTACCGCTTTAACGATAAGAAAAAGTGTTGTATTGATGAGACTTTAGGAGGTTAACGACAAAGGGAAGATCTTCCACCGAGCGGGTGAAATTGCTCAGTAGACCGACGGTCCGAATGTTGTTGTTCGGAACTTGTATAAATGCAATCTTATCTTGAAAATGTCGTAAGCGAGATTCAGGCATCAGGCTTGTGTTGTATGATGGCTACCCCGTTACAAGACTAATCTTCACATTTCAGATTGTATGAGAACATGCCACGGATGCTGTTCCCGGTGTTCTGGGTGGAACAGAAGGCCAAGATCGATCCAAAAATCATTTCGGAGCTGAGGACGGTACGCGGTATCCTGGACTGGGGCCCGACCTTCTGCGCTTGCTTCGCCGTCGTGATAGCGTTGCTGGTGACCGCCATCACGTGCTGCACCAAGCGAACAGAGTACACGCGGCCCCACGACCTCCTCAAGCCCTACGAGAAGCCCAAAGACGAAGCGGAAATGAAACTGAATCCTATATGAGGGAATTTAGAATTTACATATATGTGTCTTTTTTTTAATGTTGTAAAGTTCTATTTTGTAAAATTCGTTTGAGCTCACAGAATGAACGTTGATGCATTCAGGTTAATAAGCGCAGGTCAAAATCTGGCCTCGGATTTAAGAGGTATCAGGCTCGGAATGAGCAGTATAATATGTCATTATCTAAATACTTTGATTCAACAAATAATACTCAAAAAAATTCGATTGGAAAATGATTGCAATGATTTTTTTAAATCCAGAATCAATGCTCTATTATTATAACATTTAATATATGTCAAATTGTCTGTACTAATGTAATCTATGATGCCTTTGAGATGAGAGTTGAGGTCCCAAAGTAATGAACATTTTCCAAATAAGATATGACCTAAAGGTCTTAGTTACCAGGTTATAAAATCCCTTAAAAAAGAGAGTTGAGGGTTAGCCACAGCCGTGACGTCATCATCACGGTTTTGGTGGCAATCTTCTAAAATGTCATTTTTAATACATACAATTTATTTGTAAAATATTAAGACAATCTTAAAATCGTTTTAATTTAAATTTTCCTTTAAATTAATAACAGTGTTGATTATAATATTATTTTGAACTTTATTTATGTAATTCATGGATGTAGGTATAGGTATAATGTGGAAAGTGTTCATGAGCACTCACGCTTAGAGCAGACTTTGGTTAGCAATGGCTAACATTATTTTTTTTGCCAAAATGACTTTTTTCCAATCCATACATATTTGCGGGTGTGCACAATATTTGACATTATTTATGGAATGAGTTGTGTAAAAAAGAATGATAAAGCCTGTCAGTGCTTTTTTTAGGTCTAAAGCTTACAAGCACTTGAAGCCTGGCCGATTTTTAACTAGAGTCGGAACATCTAAAACATAAAATCGAATTTCATAAATAAGTGCTTGCTATATTGCAAAGATTTGTATTTGATTACAATATTTTATAAGTTACAAACAGTTAAGGGGTGATTTCAAGTCATGTAGTATTGCCAGAAAGAAAAATATATGCCTCGTCTCCAAACGTATTTCTCAAACATTAACTTATCTACCTACTTTTGATTAGCCATTGGAATGAGTCCGTATGTGAAGAATCGATTAAGCTTTTAGTGAATCGATTTTTATATTATGAATGTAGTATTATTGTTCCATTTTGTAGATTAAAGTTAAACTTTTTTGTAAATTTTATGCATTTTATTAGTCTTAAATGACATTTAAATTAGGTTACGGTGAATTTTAAATTTATTACCAGTAATGATATCGATTTAGATTAGGTGCGATGATTAATATTTAAAAAAAAAAAAAACCGTATTTATTTTAGTTCAGTCAAGAAACTCAATATTATTTTAATGAATGAAATTAATATATATTATATTTATATTTGGTTAAAATTTGCTTTTGTTTAAAAAAAAATACCCGATAAAACCTTTCATTTGGTTTTTCTATTCATTTTGTTAGGTACTGCTAAACTAAACTGAATTTTGTATGATTGAGACAGTTGAAGTTTTGGATGCCAACGGCAAACTACTAATCTGTGATTATAAACCTCTGTAAAAATTAAATACCAGGTCAAAAAATCCAAAAAAAAAACTGAAAAAAATCGAATTAAGAAAATTTTACCCCGTGTTAATTTACAGTAGTTCTAGTAGGCTCCGTGGTATTTGAAGTTGATTTAATGATGTGAAACTTCTTTAGGCGCGTTGAGAGTAAAATTTAACTCGCGACCGATTCGTTACGGCTAGAGAGAAAAGATACAATTTAGGAAGAGCGAGAGTGAGAAAATAGACAGAGCGTCTCGCGAACCAGTCGACCGTGGAGAGAAGGGAAGGACAAATCGAGCTAGGTCGTATCTCTTATAGACAGCATTCTCTATTACAAGAGTAATTAGATTTAAGGATGATAAATAAAGAAAATCACAATACTACACATCGCAGAAGAAGCTTCACTTGTTTTACGTGCACCAAGTTCCACGCGCAACGTTTTTTTTTTTTACTGACGATTACTTCGGATAATCTTTGGACTTGCAGATTAGAAATTCGAGTTTCGGGCGGTTAAGGTTAATACTTTTTTGTTGCTTAGATGGGTGGACGAGCTCACAGCCCGCCTGGTGTTAAGTGGCTACTGGATCCCATAGACATCTACAACGTAAATGCGCCACCCACCTTGAGATATAAGTTCTAAGGTCTCAAGTATAGTTACAACGGCTGCCCCACCCTTCAAACCGAAACGCATTACTGCTTCACGGCAGAAATATGCAGACATGGTGGTACCTAGCCGCGCGGACTCACAAGAGGTCCTACCACCAGTAATTACGTACATTTTTTAGGCAAATGAACATATTTCCTGAATTTTTCGAGACGTACCTTCGCGTGCATATAATTTAAGTATTTAAGTATAGTTTTTTTATAATACAGTTTCAATATTGGCCTTAGTTATTAAATCGCAGCAACGAATTAGTCAGAGATTCATTATTGAATATTGAAATATATATATATTTTTTTTTATTTTTTTTTTATTTCTTAGATGGGTGGACGAGCTCACAGCCCACCTGTTGTTAAGTGGTTACTGGAGCCCATAGACATCTACAACGTAAATGCGCCACCCACCTTGAGATACAAGTTCTAAGGTCTCATGTATAGTTACATATATAAATACGAACCTACTTAACATTCGTGAGGGATCGATCAAAAATTCATTCATTAATCAAAGAATTGTTCGCTGTGTAATAATATCTCATTTAGAATACGTTTTAATAATAATATTTCGAGTTCTTTAACAAGTTGCGTGCCATCTTGAAGTAGGTACGCTAATATGAAATTTTATTTAAATAATGCGATAATGATATCATGTATTGTTTAAATTAAAATTAATTTTATATTATAAAGAGTCCTGATTTATCGTAAACTCAAATTACGTAGTATATTGTGTATGTACGTAGTAAATTCAGAAATGTATTATTAGGTATTGGATACGGCTTACATATGAAAAATAAACAAAACTAGAGGTCCCGCAGTAGTCGAAATTCGACTATAATAATTGGAATTGTAAGTTTGTACACTATTATGATTGTATTTTATACTTCTATAATCACAAATTTCGCCAAGGCCATACTATAAAAAAATATTAATAAAGACAAACAATATTTAATCTATTCTCAATTTGACAACAGACGTCAAGAACAAAAGTTTGACAATAAATAGTATGCACATAGATTATACACTTAATATATTAGAGAAGTATGCATGCGTGTGTGCGTCAAATACATGGTATGTAGTGTGTGTAATGTTTTCTTTATTGATTTAATGTATCTTTTATGTATAATTTAAAAAAAATATAGCATTGTGCACTTGTTCTCTATATTCTCTATAAGTGTGAAAAATTTCATACTCCTTCGTCCGCGCAATTTTCGTAAAAAGGGATACAAAGTTTTTGCTTCACGTATTAATATATAGATTTTACAAAAACCTAATTTGCTGATTTTACGAAAACTAGTGATCGCCCGGTAGTCGAAATTCGACTGTAATTATTAATTTAAATTATAAGTTTGAACATTATTATGGTTCTATTGTCAAAGACTTTAACTTTTTTAATCACAGATTTCGCTAAGGCTACACTTTAAACAAATAATATTAAAGAAATCAATATCAATCTATTCTCAACTTGACCACAGACTAACAATAAACAAAATATAATAGTCTTTAATAGTCTATATAAGTGTGTGTGTCAAATACATGTTAGTTGTGTAATATTTTCTTTATTGGTTAAATGTATTTTTTAAGCATTATTTTAAAAAAAATATTAGCACTGTGCACTCCTTCTCTATATTCTCTATAAGTGTGGGAAGTTTCATACTCCTCCGTCCGCGTAATTTTTGTACATAATTGTAATTTTTGTAAAAGGGCTACAATGTTTTTGCTTCACGTATTAATATAAAGATTTTATCTGCAGTCGCATACTGTAACATATTTGAAATGTCGGAATTAAGAGAATGAAAATAATACACGCGATATTAAATCATATATTTATTTATTTATCTTTATACGTAAATTTAGATATTAATGTGAAAAAATTGTCCAAAATTCATATTATTTCATCACAGAACTCGGATATTCAATTAGCCGTAAATTTGAGGTTCTCATGCTCAACATAATAATATAACAATGTTAATGATATACAAAATTAAATGACAAAATATGCAACATATCGCTGTGATAAATTTTTTTGTATTTTTTTTTGTATTTATAATATATCTTAAACATTAGTTAGTGTTATCTTTATTGTACATAATTAATTAAAGACGTAATTCACTTGTCTATAAATTAAGAATCGACATAGTTAAAATATAAAATAATAAAGATTTATTTATAAGTCAACGCTCTCGTGCGATAAGGAGAATTCATTTGGTTTTGTTGTTTCGTTCGGTAGGTTAGGTGGCTTCAACAAATGTTTATCATAAAGGAAGTTAATATTCAGAGGCGTTTCAGCTGCCCAAATGACGGCTACGTTCTCCACGATAATTAAAAAAAAACTAATTTTGAAGGGTAGAAAGTAATTTTAGAAACTTTGTCCCAGGTTGATCTATCGGTTACATTTGTATTTTCATTTGTCAAAAGACAAAGTGTCATTTTATAGGGGTAGTTAAATTTTCAAGCAAAAAAGACGAACGTATCAACACCATACAGCCAAATCTTTTATATATTCCGCTACGGATGAAATGAAGTGAAGCTGATTTGTTTGAGACTGCAATTAATTGGGAAAAAATTAAATGAAACCAGATGATATGGGCATAATGATGGGCAAAGTGGACGGAAAGAGACATGCTGGGCGAAGAAAGAAGTCATGGCTCCGGAATATCTGGGAGTGGACCGGTATTGCCTCCGTCGAACAGCTGTTCCGGCTGGCTGCTGACAGAAATGAATATAGGAAGCTAACGGCCAACCTTCAGGATTGAAGAGGCACTGGAAGAAGAAGAAGAAGATGATATGGGATTATTTAAAGTACCAGTAAAAATGTGGTTATTTATGAAGACTTCAGAGGGCTTTTTGGAAGAACCCCAAAGGGTAGGCGGCTGCTAAACGGTAGGCAGGCTAGGTAGGTTTGGCTGTGCCCTTGGCATTGCAGACGTCCATGAGCGACGGTAACCACTCACTTTCAGGTGGGTTGTAAACAGGAAAACTTTTTTTAACATTTTGATACATATATTCTCCATAATTATTGGAAGTTGCATAAGTAAAACTTGTGTGTTGTAGCTCTCGCGTTTAATTAACGAAACACAGAAAAAAACTTATTAATAAGTCATCGAACTGATTTCTTTACAATTAACCCAACAAACAAAGACTTTATAATTAGATTCCTTGACGCATAAAAGAGTTAGTGATTTATTTTTTTACCAGACAAAACGGAT